GCCGTCATCCTTACAGTCTTCTCGCTCTCTCCTCTCTCTCTCTCGACTCTTCTCTCTCTCTCTCTCTCTCTCTCTCTCTCTCTCTCTCTCTCTCTCTCTCTCTTCTCCTCTCTCTCTCTGCTCTCTCTCTCTCTCTTCTTCTCTCTCTCTCGCTCTCTCTCTCTCTCCTCTCTCATCTCTCTCTCTTCTCGCTCTCCTCTCTCTCCTCTTCTCCCCTCTTCTCTCTCTCTCCCCCCCTCTCTCTCTCTCACCATCACTAACCCCCTTCTCTCTTCACCCGGCCACAGGAATCTCGGTGGCGTAGTACATTCGACGACACGCGCACGTCAGCGGCGTGATCGACGGCACTAACACGATCAAGGTGTGAACAGTTCTCGGGGGGACGAACGAGAGCCCGTGATCCTGTGCTCGACCTGCGCCGGGGGGCCAGCTCCGGCACGTACGCGCCTCCGAACGTGAGGGCAACCGCCTCGTCAGGCGATCCCATGAGCTGCTCGATCAAGGTATGGGTCCGAATGTCAAGGTCGAGTGCGGCGAGCGTCAAGTGGCGGTTAAGGAGATGCGTCGAGGGGGAGGGTCGGGAGTTCCAGGCATCGTGTTCAATGTCGAAGGTCGAGGTTCAGGGCGTCGGGTCGATGGAGAGGAATGTGAGGTGTGCCCGGCGAGGTTCGTTGTTTGTAACGTTGGCATGTGTGAGCGTCGACTGTCGATGAAGGGGATCACTGTTGGAATGACGTACGGTTGTGATCTGTCAATGAGAGCGCTCGACTTTATGACACAACTGGGAGCGCGATTGATTGGACATGGGCATACACAGTTTTTGATAGTCGGCGGAGTCCGGTCCCACGTGTATGAACACGGTCATGAAGATGATGACCGGTGTTGGGACGTAGCGACGACAGGCTGGGTGGTTGTGCGATGACAAGGGTCACGGTGGTATGACACCTGGATATGACAGTTGTGACGTGACACACACTGTGGGGTTGTGTCGAGGGAGAGGGCGAGAGGATGACACGCTTATATTACACGTTGGGGGGGACGGTTACACACAGTGTCAGGGTTGGGTCGATGCAGACTCAGCTGGTGGTATGGACGACGTTGAGAAGATATGACACGTGGGGGCACGCGTTACACACAGTTGTGGCGTTTGCGTGCCCAGAGTCACTTGTAGACACGTTATAATATGAACGTTGGCTGACTTGAGCGAGCCAGCTGTGGGGTTGTCAATGCAGAGCGTCCACTGGTGTATGACACTGTGTATGATGGACACGTTTCGTGACGTTCATCACGACAGCGTGGGGGTGTGGTCGAGATGCGAGTTCACTGTGGTGACCCTTATAAATAATGACACGTTGTGAAACATTACACACAGCGTCTCACTGTGCGCGTTGGCGATGCAGAGTCACTTATATGACACGTCTATATATGAACATCAGTTGGTGACGTTACACACCGGTGTGGGTTCGTGTCGATCCTAGAGTTCACTGGTCTATGACACGGTTAAAATAGACACGTTGGGATGACGTTACACACAGGTGTGGCTGTTTGTCGATTCAGAGTCACTGGGTGTATATACATTTTATAATACTGACACAGTGGGGACGTTATCCAGCAGGCTGTCACGTGGGTTTGTGATGCAGGAGGTCACGTTGTATGACCGTAATATGACACGGTTGAGACGGTACACACAGGTTGGTGGGGGTGTCTCGATGCAGAGTCACTGGTGGTATGAAACGCTGTAGGATCACGGGGGGTTGGGGTGACGGTTTACACACAAGTTTCACGTCGGGGTTGGCGAGTGCAGAGCTTCACTGGGTCACACATGTATGGGAACACGTTGGTTAACTTGAGCCGGCGCGGCAGTAGCGTCGAGAGGGTTGAATCATGGGATTAGCGATGAGGACTATATAATCATCCGTAGACTACCTATTAATGTCACCCGCGCCACGGCAGGTGTGTGATCTATCTATCAGAGTCACTGTGTGACACAAGATATGAAAATGGTGACGTCAGCCCAGTTTGGATGCTATCTGATCAGTAGTCACTGGTGCTGACAGCTGTGGTTATGAGCACATTATATGACACATGTTGACATCACCGCAGGTGCAGGAATCTTCTATCAGCAGGCACGTGTGACACTGTGAATATGAACCATGTATGAACGTCACCCGGCAGGTGTCGTATCTATCTATTCAGCGGTCACTGTGTGACACTGGTATGAAACATATGACACTATGGTGACTTCGACCCGCCAGGTGTGTGAGTCTATCTATCGAGGCGGCGTCACTGTACAACTAGTCTATGAACATCTATATGACCATTTTGTGAAATCCACCCGCAGTGATGTGATCCTATCTATCAGAGGTCACCTGGTGGACACTGGTATGCACACATTGTGACGTCACCGCAATGTGTGATTCTATCTACAGATCACTGTGTGACACTGTGTATACATATGTGACGTCACCGCACAGCGGTGTAATCGTATCCTATCAGAGGGGGCAGCGGTGTGACACTGCTGTATTACACATATATATCGAACAGTGTGAGCGTCGACCCACAGGTGAGTCGTAGTCTATCAGGAGGGGTCACGATGGACACGTATACACAATATATGAACAATTGCTGACGTCACCCGCCAGTTTTAATCTATCTATGCAGGGAGGTCACTGCGTGTGACACTGTGATGACACACTATATGACACAATCGTGACGGCACCCCAGTGGTTCAATCCGATCTAATCCAGAGGTCACTAGTTGATCTGTGAGTGACACATGGGAGTGACGTCACCCAAAGCGGTGTGGACACTGTCGGATGCAGAGCAAGCTGCGTAGTCAAGCATCGCTTGCCGCGTCGGACGATGGAGCCGGCTCACACGGACACGTCCGCTGCCTTCGGGGACGATGAGGAAGGTGATCACGCCGTTACGAGGGGCGGCGACGCCGAGAGGGACATTAGGACGGGCCAATTGTCGGTCACACACTCATGTATATCTTACGCTGGCGCATCTCGATCGTGGGAGCGCTCAGGTAGGGACATCAGGGACGGGCCCAATGTCGTCACACACTCAGGTAAATATGTTACCTGGGCGGCTACGATCGTGGGGGGGACCTCAAGGCCTGTGCGGACATCAGGACGGCAGTGTCGTCCACACACTCAGTAATACTAGTGTAGGCGCTGGCCAGTGGACGATCGGAGCGCTCAAAGTGCGACATCAGGGACGCCAGTGTCGCACACACTCAGTGAAGCATCTCGTTCCTGAGGCGGCTACGATGCACGCTCAAGGTGTGGGACATCAGGACGGGCCAATGTCGTCACACACTCAGTAGATATTCTACCTGGTGCCGGCTACGCATGCACCACGCTCAAGTGTCGGGACAATCAGGAGCGGGCCATTTCTCACACACTCAGGTAAGATATTTAACCTGGCAGCTACGCATCGTACCTCAAGCCTGTGGCGACATCAGCACCGCCAGTAGTCGTCATCACACTCAAGTAATGATAGTACCTGGGCAGTAACGATCGCCACGCTCAGGTAGGACATCAGGGACGAGCACAGTGTCGTCACACACTCAGGTAATATTACCTGCGCAGCTCACGATCGCGACGCTCAACGTGGTTCAGACATCAGACGAGCCAGCGGGGGGGAAGGGTGATGAAGAATGCAAGAGGTCAGTGCATGCGGCACGTGGCACACGAGAGACACGGGGTCAAACGGGCACACATACATAGACACAGACACGAGTTCAGGTGTACGGGTTGAGGGTGCGTGAGTGTGTATGAGAGAGAGAGAGTGTATGTGTCTGTGTCTGTGGTTGTGTGTGAGACAGAAAGAGAGTGAGAGAGAGAGAGAGAGAGAGAGAGAGAGCGAGAGAGAGAGAGAGAGGGAGAGAGAGAGAGAGAGAGAGAGAGAGAGGGATAGAAACAGAGTGCCTGTACGTGCGCTTGCAAATACAGTTGTGTTTCCCTGTATACTTGCATAACAAAAGTAGTCGTAAACAGTCGACAAAAAAGCCTCTAAAAACGGAGAAAAGTCGTGCCGAGAGTGTCGATACTGGAAAGCTATGCTGAGAGGGTGAACCCTGACCTTGGGTGTGACCTTCGAAGGTGCGTACGTTGCAGTGTCCGGTCAGCCAGTTCCTGCGCAGTCTGTATCGTTCAGCAAACACACGCTTCCACTGCGAGACGACAGAAAACAAGCGAACAGACGTCACGTCGGAGCGTACGATGGACGCGAAAAATGGGCGACGGAATAAAATTTCGTGCAAAACTAAAATTTATAAATATTTTGCGTGAAACTGACATTTATATATATGCTCGTAAAACTGAGTTTTATGAATATTTTGTGCAAAACTGAGATTTATACATGTTTCATGCGAAACCAGAAATTATATTACAGACAAAACTGGGACGAAAAACTGGCAATAATATTAAGAACGAAAGCGGGACTAGAAATTGCACACGAAACTTCAATTAATAAACATTTGGAAACCAGTTTTAAAATTTGAGCACAAAATTCTTCACAAAATCAGAAATCACAAACACACATCGCGACCGAAAAATCCGCGACCAAAAAATCTCGCGTGTTACACTTCCGACCGCGTCGCCGACGCTCACCAGGGGGCACCACTCACCTGTACGGTTCCGTCCGGCCGCATGTACTTGATCATCTGCTTCTGTTCGCACGGCGACGACAGCCGCCATTTTGGCAGGTGGCAGTTGCGTCGCCAGAACACCGACTCGTTCGACAGCTGGTGCCAGGACTTGCAGACTCTAGACGCACGGCACAGACTCGCTGTGAGGGGTAGGAGAGAGATGGATTAGTTAATTAGTTAATTATATAGTAGATACAT